GGCAAGACAAACAAAAAAAGTGGCATGTGCAAATGTTATTCATACCGTCTTGTAAAAGCTGAGAAATATTTTTTTCCACAATGATGCCTCTTGTACATCGTCTTATTATCTTTTGGGAGAAGCCTGTGTCATTTCTGGTCAAAAAAAAAAACTTGCTGGTTGAATAAAAGTAACTTTAAGTCAAAATTTGCCAGGGGAATAATTTCGGCCTTGACTGTATTTTTAAAACATTTTTTGGCAACAGCAGCTGGTTGGGAATCACTGTTGTAGATGAACCCTAAGTCAAAAAATGTATTTATTTAAGACCCTCATTATTTTAGTTTATCCTGTGCTTGCATGGTGCACACTGTATTTCTAAATGAAGTAATCACAAACTAGTGAATGCATAGAAACCTTGGGTTTGGGCAGTATTAGTACAGCATGGGAGTATGATTGGTTCATACACAGTAAAAGGAGTCATTAGGGGCCCAACAGCAGCCTGAGGCCCCAGTCAACCGTGTTCTCTGCCATAATGTACAGTAGCCTGAATTTATATAATATCACAAGTAGTTAGATACAAATGTACACTGTCATTGATGTAACCATCTCCATTCAACTGCAGTTAATGTTGAATGTCACTGTTTCTACTATTCTTACACAGATATTGAAATATATAGTATAGGGAGAATGAAATGTATGATGAAAGTTTGAATATGATGATAGAAACATGCTTGCTTCATGTTAAATGATCAGGTGTTTGGTAGAACCTGGCATTGAAAGTGAAATAGCGCCTTTCATTATGTGGGGAAATGCTGATATCCTGCTGTCTGCCACACAGGTAACCCAGGTGTAGTGGGCTTCTACAGAACCTTCATGCAGACGATTCACAGTATGGTTGCATACCACCACCCAGTGTGGGCCGTGAGCCACGCTGGCCACTGTGTACCACCAGACTCCATGGATATGGTAGAAGGTACACATTATTCTCAAGTTCTCTACACCTCAGCATTCCCAGTACATTAAAAGAAAGCATGATTAATTAAATAGGAATATTCAGTTCTAACATACTTAGAGACTGGGAGTTGTTATCAGTGAGTAACTCAGGCTAGTTTTCGATACAGATGCCTCCTCAGCAGCAGAGGCTGACGTGTTCGGCCTGAACGGGCAGATTGAACACAAGCTGGCCTTCCTCAGCAAACACGTTCCCAGAGAAACCAGCCTGGTCCTGGTGGGGCACTCCATCGGCTGCTACATCATTCTGGACATGATGAAGAGAAATCCTGAACTCAAGGTTATTTACGATATTTTGTAGTTTTTTTTTCCTGTGGGAAACCCATCTCATATTCTGATATGTTTTATCCACAAAAAAAGTTTAAAAAAAAATGTTGTGTATATATGTGTTTTTTGGGGCCTTTGTTGCCTTTAATTGTCAAATTGATAGTGACAGCTGAAGAGTGACAGGAAACAGGGAGGGAGAGTGATGACACGCAGCTAAGGGCCACAGGTTGGATTCAAACCCATGGCCCGCTGCAGCAACTCAGCTCAACTTTATTTATATAGCATCTTTCATACAAACATGCAGCCCAAAGTGCTTCACATAAAAACTGAAACAACATATTAAAGGAAAAATGAACGACAATAAATAAAGTTTTGCTAGGCTAAAAATGAATACAGAAAAAACTATAACAAAATGTAAAACATCAAAAAATAAAAGTTGATGTGAAAAAAAAAAAAACACTAGAAAGATAGGCATGGCAAATAAGATTTCAATGTGTTAGAAAATATTATACATTACATTTTATACTAATTATTATACATTATATTTTATGAAGTTTCTACATCACACTGTACAAGTTGCATACTGGACCAGGACTGACTTCCAAACTGTTTGTGATGTCACAAATCCTGCTTCTAGTGTGAAACTCTGCACAGACAGCATTCAAACAGCACACTGTAGGAACAAGAACAAACACTGATTTCTGACTGGAGGGGGGCTTTAAACATTTCTGCTATAAATCTGTCAGATATAAAGAAAGAAACCTGCTCTGCTCTGTTTGTCCCACATTGTTGTTTGATACTGGGACCTCATGTTTTGATGATAAGCCACTATCAAATTCCACATTATTACACGTTCTAGACATAACAAATACACACTGAGGGCCAAAGACAAGATTGCAGAGCAAAAATGTGGACACACCCAAAGAAATAGGAGAGTAGGGACACGACAACAAACACACCTATAAACAATATGTCCGGCTCAAAGACGTAAACACACACAAACAGAGGCTAACGTGTAATTCAAAGCCAGTCTAAACTCTACAAATCAGACGGCTGACAAACACTGATTGGTAGTCCCATCCATTTAAAAGACATACAGTGTAATGACTGGTGTAAAGAAGTGTAAAGTGGGAACTGCAGCAGAGGAACCATCTAATCGTACATTTTTTCGTTTATTTTTATTCCCATCACTCTCTCTCGTGCCTTTATTTCCACCTTACCTTGATCACATTTGGAAAAACACTTTTAGCCTGCTGTGTTAATGTCAGTCCTCTGATCAGGCAGAAAATGTAAAAAAATCAGGGGGAAGTAAACAGTAAAAAAAAATGGTTGTGGCAGTGGCAATGGCAGTGTAGAACTCCACGCACACACACACACGTCTTCACTGTAATCCCATTGTGATAAGTGTGCAGCAAACAGAGAGCAGTGAACGCTGCAGCTCCGAAACTAACTCTGAGATTTAAAAGAAGTACAACAGGGATTACTGTGGGTGAAAAGTTAACTGCAGGATAAAATGTTCAGCCTGTACATGTATGAAACCAATGGATCTCAAAGCATTAGCAAGAAACAGAAACTGACCTCCAACGCCGCAGAGCTGAAGAACCAAACCTACATCTCCTCTGAGCCTCCCCTGCTCTAACTGCCTCCCCGGTATCTCTTTTACCGTTATGATACGTGTCTGCTTAATGGAGGGTTGTGCCTTCAACATGCAAACCAGACAGACACAGAGAGAGAAAGAGGGAGAGTGACTTATGAGGGTGTTATTAGCACTGATAGCAAAGGGGCTGGACCCTATAGGAAAATATTCAGATACGGCTGCTCTTCCCGCTCAGGATCCACTTTTATGGCCAGGTTATCAAGCTATTGGTTAATGCTTGGCTCTGCAGCACAGATAAAAGGAGGCGGGGGGAGGAGGGGGAGGAGGTCGGGGGAGGAGGGGGAGGAGGTGGGGTGACATTAAAAGCCCTGCACACGTATCGAATGCACACATACATGTATGCACAGGGAGGGACACACATAATGAAGCTGGGATGTTTTGGTCACTATTAGTGAGCACAAAGACGCTCAGGAGGCACAGAAATGCTGATTCTCTGGGTTTGTTTTTTAGAGTCTGAAAAACAAAATGGGAACAACATGAAACTTTTTTTTAATGCGGCTGTTTATGAGAAATGATCGCTGTTAGGGAAGGTTACATTATTGTGGAATTTGCCGTTTATGGCCATCAGATGTGTTACTGCTAGAGCGTTATGATGTGGGGAGAGTTGGTGTGAGGGGAAGAGAGACCTTTATGACAAACACACACACTGAACTTCTTTTTTTTTGTAGCTCTGGAGAGGGTCCACAGGCTCAAACAAACACACACATACACACACACACACACACACACACACACACTCAGAGAGGAAAATAACCAGGGTTGAGGGGGCGAGACGAAGGCCTCCTGGCAAACATGTTTGGCTGTCTCGTAAACATCTCATTTGATAATACGGGCTGAAGAGTTAACAGTTCATAGCCTCGCCCTTGCAGCGAGAGGATGCACACGCGTGCTTAAACACACACACACACACACACACAGACAGACACTAAGCCGCACAAACCACAGCCAGCGTGCTACACAGACTCTCTGCTTTAACACTTCCAGGGACCACACACTGACTCAGAACACAGCCACTCACAGCAGGGACAAATAAGAGTGTGAGGTGCAAACACACAGTATGGGGGCGTGAGTTTGGACAAATAGTGTCAGTCCAGGACGGGTGATGCAGCTTTTATAAAAAACACTCACACGGTGCTGTAACATCCCATACGGACCGATGCCAAACCCATCCACCACAGCTCCCACCAGCCTCACCAGAACAGGAAGAACTGTGGAAGGGGGGGGAGCTCAGGTCTCAGCGTCCACATGCCGAAGGTTTCTCACTCACATTAGGTCTTGAATGAATTTAGCTGATGATGAAACTCGCACAGGGCTGAATGAGAGACATTGTAGAGATCTGTCAGAGAGGAGCATCATTAGAGAAGCTCCTCTCTGCCCACAGAGCTCCTCCACTATCTAATCTGCACTTTAATAGTGCAGACACACCCATATTACGTGTGAACAGATAGCTGGGTTCACAGAGGGAGGCAGTGAGACTGGAGGAGTTACTGAAACACTGAAATGGAGGATTTGAAGTTGAATTAGTACTGTAAAAAAAAAAGACTGCTATTATTTTGACAGATATTGTGATTGCGATATAATTTACAATTAGTGGGGATGATAATTTTTTATTACAATTTACATATTTACTGAAAAAAATGATTAAAATCAAGATGATGTGACATTTGTTGGGGTCTTTAGGAAACACATGTTTTCTTAAATCTGGAGAACAAGATTTATAGGTCAGGGAATCTCTGCAGTAATACAGTAATTCATTATAATGCTGTTTGTCACACTTTTATCAAAATTGTAGCTTCTGCAATTTGCCTATTGCATTTTTCCATATTGTGGTTTTAATAATATTCGAATTAATTGTGCAGCCATAAGTTAGGTTATTGATTTCTTGCTCTGAATGAATTGAGACTGGTTAGACTGTGTTAAAGTGAAATTGACCTTCAAGAAGTTACAATAAATAAGAAATTAACAGCCAGGGGTGGATCTAGAGGAGAGGCAGCTGCTGTCAAAAAAAAATATGCCTGGCCGCCCCAGTTTAGTGACAAAATTAAATTTAACAGATTAATTTAAATTAAAAATAACATGTTAACAGGCAGAAATTATTTTAATGAAGTGATAGGCTTACGTTCAATGAAGACGAGGAGATTTGGAAATAAAAGAATTCATTGATCTCTAATGCCACCTTTAGATATTTCTATTCAGTGTTTTACTAATGTGCCACAATAATATGTTCAAATATCTTCATTTTTCGGCTTTTCCAAGCAAATAATCATATATGTGATTGTGATTAAATAAGCAGATATTTCTGCCACCCCTTAAAGTCTCCAGGACACCCTCTGGACCCCCCATGAATATTTCTCTAGATCTGCCCCTGGATATACCATGTGACATGTAACTGATACATGCAATGACTTAAATTTAATTTGCAGAATACCTGAAAATCACATTTGCCTGTATCCTGTGAATTTATGAAATGTGTAGCCTAATGTCTCAAAGCCACATGTGAATATAGATAATTTACATTGTGCTCCACATATAATTATTATGTAAAATGTGCTTTCCATTAATATTTCTCTAGATCCAACCCTGTAAAGACTAAAGGAATAAAATAATATATCAGCTACTGAAAAAAACTAAAGTCGAGCTAAAAAACGTGACGTTATCTGCATGAAATTGTCGACCATGAATAATTTGCGCATCGCCATCAGCGCCTCAAATCTTCTCCTCGCCATTTTGCGGCAGAAGGAAAAAAGCTACAGTTCAGTGAAACCCAAAGAAAATAGTCACAAGTCTCCCACTCTTTCTGATACGATGACTCTTTACACATGCCGCCCCCCCCCGCGCACGACCCGGCAGCCTTTAACATCTGAGTAAACTTTAAACAGAGAGACGGGCCAGCAGAAACCTGCAGCCTCCCATCACATCAGCTGAAACGAATTCGTTTTTCCTCGCGGTTGACTCCAAAAAAATCCGTTTTTTTATTTATTTATTTATGCATGTTATTTTTCTAGTGCTGGGGGGGTCTGATGGACGTCTTGTGGGAGAGAGAAAACGGGTACAGTGTCGGCCAGTGTTGGCTGATAACGCCTCACGGTGCCGTCATTATTATTTCTATTAATTATTAGGCCTATTCTAATCATATCCATTCCATTACACTTGCCGATATGTGTAAAATGTATCTAAATATTCATCTGATTATCCAAATTCTCCACTCGCCACGCTTTACTTGCTCAGGTGAGAAATCCCGTAAAAGTGAGATTTCTGTGCACGGAAGCTGGCGTTTGACAGGCTGCAAACATATTAGCTGTTTGGATTGCTGCTGGCGGGTTTGCAAGAGAGGAGAGCAGTGAGTCAGCCTGCTCTTTCTTTAAAGGTCAGAGAGGACGAAGGCAGAAGGTAGAAGCTGCTGTCATGTAGAGAGCAGAAATAAGGGAATAAAACGCTTTTAAGAAATATATTAAAGCGGGCACCCAGCGCCTGCCCTGTCTGTGAGACACTTTAAAACTTGTATTCAAAATTCACAGTTCATTCAAAAATGTATACAAGGATGTGATTTGATGTCTTTTAGAGCAGGACAAACTATTGCTCCTGACATGACGGCCTGCAGAAGGACTGGTTCTCATTTGGAGCCAAACGCATTTGGCTCGAGTTTCCTCTGATTACGCAGAGCAGACTGGAGGCCTCTCAGTCCCAAACACAGCCCAGTCCCCGCTCAGACCCGAGCTTTAGGGTCTCTCCACATTCCTCGATGTTTTCCGGACATTTTCACCTGTTGTGTGAAGCTATATCTTCGCTCTGGGTGTGTGTTGCGGAGGTGAAAGGCCTCTGTACTGCAGCTTCCGAAAACACCCGCACCGTGTTCTACAGCTCTCTGTCCCCCCGCTATGTTTTATTCATCGTTTGTCCCGTTTGCTGGAGAACATGCAGTTTGAAAGTGTGTTAAACAGTAACAGCAGTAACACCTCACAGTCATCGGTCAGCCATTATTATTTTTAAAAAGTTAAAAAGTGACAAAGCGGACAGAACCGCTGGACTGATGTTGTGTTGTTTAAAACGTTTTCTTGTTTTTTATTACTAAAGAGTTTTTTTTTTTTACCTATGTGTTTTAATCTACACACATACACACACGCAACTACCCCCAATTACATATATATATCTATATAGAGAGATATATAAATAGGCCATACATATAATTCTCTGATGTAAATTATTCTGAACAATAAATCTAAACATACTGCCCGCCAACCAATCCAAAAGAGCTTAAAAACAGGAGCAAAACGCAACCTGGAATATTAAACTTGCAATATGCACACAGGCTGAGCTCTTTAATAACTCATAGGTGAGACATCTGCATCTTGTTGCATATTTAAAATAATTCAAATACAATTAATATTTCGTTAAAAAAAGAGAAAAAAACACCAAAACAATAAGATACTGATAGTAAAGTAAATACATTTTACTTCGAGACACACCAAAGAGCCAAGAAGTGGCAACATTAATTAAATATGCATGAATTTGTAAAAACTAAATAATAAATAAAGATTAATGTATCATTACTATAGAAAAATTACCAATTGCTAATGCATAATTATGGAAATAACTTATATTATCTTAAGATAGATGGACTTTTATTATTAGTAGACTCATTAGCACTAACAACAATAATATGTGCCCTAGTAGTGGTGGTAATAATAATAATAATAATAATAATAATAATAACAATAATAATAATAATCATGTTTAGTTGTATTAAGTTTGGTATTAGTTTGATCAATGTCACTGACACACTAATATACTAATAGAGTAATACACTCATAAATAATAATCAATTATTATTTGTATTTTATAAATCATTTATCATTTATAACTATTTCATCATAATTTACAGCCACTTTCATCATACACATGCTGCCTGTGTGTGTGAGTGTATAACACAAGGATGTGTGTGTGTGTGTGTGGTGTGTGTGTGGTGTGTGTGTGTAGATGTG